AGTCAAGCGAAGAAAACCAGAAAAAGAATCAGACTTCAGATTCAGAGACCTAAATTAAATCTCTGGACTGTCTCCAACTGGTTGGGTCACATTGGACAGTTCAAGAACCCAATGTCTTTGAGTCATATTTTCAATATCTTTCGCATGGAGAAAAAAAATTTTTTTTCTTTAAGAGAGAGCACATATGCATGTGAGCTGGGGAGGGGCAGAAGGAGAGAGAGACTATCAAGAAGGCTCGATGCTCAGTGCAGAGCCCAATGTGGTGCTCCATCTCAAGAACTATGAGATCACGACTTGAGCAAAATGAAGAGTTGGCCACTTTACTGACTGAGCCACTCACATGGGAGAATTATTGAACTTCCAGCTCTATAGGTATTAAAAGCTGCACACATAAAAATTGTTATTTTTAAGACTTCACCATTATTTTGTTTAAAAAATTTGTTATAGTAAATAAATGAAAAATAAGAGGAACAATTTTAACTTATAATTACTTTTTGCAAATTCACATTTTACCTCTAGGCACATGGGTGAAGTTCCTTTTAAGAGCTTATCAAATGGTGTAAAAGCTCAAGTTGGAATATATAGCACTTCCAAGTTTCAGATTTAATACTCTTTCCCATTTAGAGGTCATACATCTCTTTTTCTGTATTAAAATGTATTTGGTAAGGATATGATAATTAAATATTTGCAGTGTTAGCATAATTAGATCTATTTCTTGACCACGCAGGCAATTCTTTTCAAAACTGTTTCAGTAAAAACTCCAGTGAAAAGTACAGATTGATGCTAGATAATGGCATTTCAAGTTTTGTTTTCTTTTAATTGGTTGAGCTCAGTAGTGAAGTTTAGGTTGTAATAATGTTAATGGTTTCTCCTTAACCATTGATTCTATTCAATAGAGACAGCAAAGTGTGTTTCAAATTGATTCCTGAGTGATCTGAAATGGTCTGTTAAGAATTCGAAAATGAATAAATGTCTTGGTAACCTGAAATTTAGTCTCATTTGTGAGGCTCTTATGCTGTCATTGGAACAGAATCTTTCACTTTTGATGAGGTTTAAAAGAAAAGAGACTAAAGAAAGTAGTGGTCTGAACTTATATTGTGATAGTGCATTCTTTCAAGGAGACACTTAAAAATTAATATCAGAGTCTGAATTTCTCTTCTTTGACAAATTAAAATGAAAATAGCCAGGTCAATTGTTCATATTAATAGAAACTGATAATACAGAATTAAATGAATAGAAGTTAATAGAAATCTGTGAGGGTTATTACATCAAAGTACTTCCAATAGGACACAAATTAACTAGAATTCTTATTGACTATTTTATCATAAAATTTAGAATAAAGGGAAATAAGTAAGTATTGTTGTGGATGAATCATATCATATCAACTTCACTAGGCTTTATTCATCGAGTACCCACTAATGTACCTGACATGGTATATTTATGCTGCTCTCTTCAGGATTCTTTTTGAGTTAATGTTTAATTATATTGTCCTCGGTTAGAGCCTCTTCTAGACTAGATTAATGTGTCATCATTGCATTGCTTTAACCCTCCAAAAGTTTTTTTTTGTTTCTGTTTATAATTTATAAGGAAATAGGATAAAAATGACAATGATTTTAAATTATTTTTTTGTGTTGTAAAATGAGTGGCTTAAAAAAAACATTTCTTGGAGTAAAGGAGACAATGACCTATTGATGCAATGGAATGTTATGCAGCAATTTAAAACTATGCTTTAAAAGAATATTTAATGACGTTCAAGCATAATCAACTGCAAAAAGCAGAATGCAAAAGTATATGTAGCACGATACCAATATTTTCAGATTGGTAGATTGGCATATGTAATATACAGGAAAGAACAAGACTGAAATGCTGATAGCAGTTTTGTCTGAGTGGGATTGGTGTGATTTATTTTCTTTTGTATATTATAGGTTTTTTGCCCCAAAATAGTTAACCACAAACGTTTTCTGATTATACAACCAATGAATATCATTAAAATAAATAAAATTGGGGCACCTGGGTGGCTTAGTCGATTGAGTGTCCTACTTTGTCTCAGGTCATGATCTCCAGTTTGTAAGTTTGAGCCCTGCATCTAGCCCACTGCCGTCAGCACGGGACCCTGCTTCAGATCCTCTGTTCCCCTCTCTCTCTGCCCCTCTCCCATTCTCTCTCTCAAAAATAAATAAACATTTAAAAGAAAACTTTAAAAAATGTGAAAGGTGGAAGAAAACTCATTCAGATTTAAAAAAATACTTTAAAACTTTCCTAAGCCCCTACATTAGATGTATTTATCATGATTCCCTTTATTGCTTGAAAATGGACTAAAGGCCATGCGTTTGAAGGATGGACATGATTCAGCAGGACCTAGTATGGGTAATATTCTAGTTAGAGTCTGGCCCCTGGACCAGCAGCGTTCATATCCCCTGGGAACTTGTTAAGAATGCATATTCTTGGACCCCATGCCAGACCAATTCAACCAAAACCTCTTGAAATGGGGTCCTGCCATGTGTGTTTTCAACAAGCCCTCCAGGTGAGTTCAGTGGATGCTGAAGTTTGAGGAATGCTTCTTTAGAGTTTTGAGGCCAGAGATGACTAGAACGATTTCACAAAAATGTTATCCAAGGCAAATTTCAGCTCACATTTCCCTTCTCTCTTTGTCTCATGTCTTCTGCTCTTTCTCTGCCTCTATAACTCTGCATCTCTCCTATTTATAGGTTTTGTTGCATGATGTTTTTTTATTTATTCGTGTCTTTTCCTTGTTTCCCCAAAATCTTTGAGGCAGCTTACAGAGGTGCATATACCCATCCAGAGCTGTCTCTTTGGGCATTGCTCTAATGACTTTGCATATAGTATCTTATTTCATTTAATTATCAGTAACAACCCTGTAAGGCAGTTGTTGTTGTTTTTATTATTCCATGATTATCTATCCGTTTTACAGACATGGAATCTGAAAGCATAAAGGCTAAATAACTTGCCCAAGCGCATACAACCAGTAAGTGCAGGAATCCAATCAAAATGGTGCCAAAGCCTGTGGCCTCAACCAGCTGGCTGTGCTGTTTCGTAAAAGTAAAACTAGTGGGGAACTGGGATGAATGGAAAATAAAGGGCAGGACAAACACAGTCTGTTCTACAGAGTTGTTGGGTTTTGGTTTTTGGATTTTGGTTTTTGGTTTTTTGAGAGAGAGAGAAAAAATGTGATTGGAGGAGGGGCAAAGGAAGAGGGAGAGAGAGAATCCCAAGCAGACTCCGTGCTCCGTGGGGAGCCCTACATGGGGCTCAGTCTCACAGCTTTGAGATCACGACCTGAGCCGAAATCAAGAGTTGGATGCTTAACCGACTGAGCCACCTAGGTGCCCCTACAGCTTTTCACATAGTCCGTGATTTGCCTCCAGCTCAAGCGGAGAGTGGAAAAGGATAAGTTGCAAGATTTACACCATCAAAATATGGGGAACCAAACTAATTCTCAGGAAGGCCACACCTGAGTCTCAAGGGGAAGACTTTCATGTCATTCTGTGTCCTCGGAAGTATGCCCTTATGATTTTCATTTCATTCGTTCACTTTGCATATGAGGTAAATATTTCTTGGGCACCTTCTATTTGCTGGCCCCTGTACTGGTTGCTTGATATGGAAAGAATAAAACATACCGATATCTTAAAGACACCAGGAGAACCTAGGGGAAAAGAGCACTGGTTGTGTCTCCCTTGGAGTTTCCCCCACTTCCTCTCTCAGCAGGGAGTGAGAGAAGCACACAGTGAAAGGCAGGAAGGGATTTGGAACAAACTTCTCTTGGAAGGGGAGACCTGAGGGAAATCAGAACAGACTCTAGAAGGAAGCAACCATCTTAGCTGATAGCACCTGGTCACAGGTGGACCTTCATCCTTGACAACACCTTTCTCTAGAATCTGTAATTAGAGGTTGTCCCTGGACACTCTGGACCCTGAGCTTGGGCTTGCATCTTGGTTCTTTGGAAACCATGTGGCTCTAGGGATAAAGGGCAGGGAGTTGGAAGGAGAACCAAAGCCAGCTGGTTTCAACAGAGCCCTGCAGTTGTATGTGCGTGTGTGTACACATATCTGTATTTCATCACTAACTGAGTTACTCCTGGCTGTCTGGTCAATGATCAGTCTTTCCCCTCCTGTACATAATCCCTAAAAGCTCCAGAAACACGTAAAAATTGTTCTTTCTCTTCCCCATCCATATTTATCTAATAAATAGAATGCAAGCACAATTATTTGTTCTGGTGGCCATGGCTGCTGCTCAGTGACCACGGTCCTGTCTTCTGCCACCTATGGTCATGAACCCCTGGAGACACGGATGTCTCAGAATACAACACTTGGCCCTAAAGATAAGGACCTGAGTGGCTGGACCTTCAGCTTCTGTTTCGAAGTGAGAATAGTATCGAGAGTATGAATGTTGGTTATGAGTGTGCTCAGTACTCTGAAATGAACTGTGTCAGTTAAGTGACCCAAATGCTGGCATCTGAGAGCCCTCATGTCTGATCATGTCCTTCCAGGGGCATCTGGCCTGCAGCCACCATACTAAAGGTCTTAGAGCAAGAGGAGGTACAGAAAGCAAGGGGATACAGGGTTTGAGTGTATGTTACATAGAATTTGGAAGGTGGTGGTAGTATCAGGAGATGGAGAATAATTATTGAGCCACTCTGTGTCTCATTTTTAATTTGCACTAATAAGCCGTGTAGTGCTCTCTGTAGAACATCTTGTAGAAGTTTTCCAGATCTCCAGGACTGCTTTTGATCAGAAAAAGGAAAAGCCAACTCATTCTAGAAGTCTCGATATAGCACTTGAATTCTTTAGCTGTTCTAAGATATTTAGTGGGGGGTTGAAGACTGTGTTTGGGGAAAGCATGAAGGTTTCACCGGGAGGGCAGCCCTCCACTGGCCGTGATGGAAGTAATTGCTTCCCAAAGGATTTTGAGAAGCCATCACATCTCAAATTTCCTAAGTGAAAGCTGCTTCTGACTTTTCTGTATCTTCTTTTTCTTGACAGTCCCAGCAGAAATGCATTGTGATCTTCGCCCTGGTGTGCTGCTTTGCCATTCTTGTGGCGTTGATATTTTCTGCCGTGGACATCATGGGAGAGGATGAAGATGGACTCTCAGAAAAAAATTGTCAAAATAAATGTCGGTAAGAGGTAACAAACAAAACTTCTCTTTTAGGGGGTAGGCAGGAAAGCCAAAGAGAGCCCTAGACAGTGGAGAGAAAATCAGAGGCACACATGATCATCTAGCATCTCCTTGGGCTAAGCTGTGGCAGGAGTCTGTCCAGCGATGCTCTCATGTTTTAGACCGAGGAAATGAAAATGAGTACTGATTTCATTCGATTACAGCTCTTTATAATTTGGACATATTCTGTACAGATGGGTGGTTGACAAGATGAAATTTTGTACAGTTTGCATTTCTGGAGATCCCCCTCTATGAGCTCTTGATCTGTTCCGTGATAAGCCTGGCAAAAATGAGTGCCCCAAATGGACAAAAGACACTGTGCTAGTCATCACGTCAAATGGAAGGTAAAAAAGCCAGTATCTCAGCAATAATTCCAACTCAACATTCAGAATTAAAGAAATCAGGGTGTTTATAAGAAGACAGGCATTTCCTCAGTCTGTCTCAATGTATGTATGATGTCTCTTCAGTTACCTTAAATAACGTTTCCTTGGGGTCATTCCTGATTGGCAGAGCCTTCAGAGCATGGTTTTGATCCCCCTAAATCTCTTCATCCAATTGTTTGTATGCTGCTACTTTTTAAAATTTAGGTCATGGAGAGGGTGTAGGAAAGCACCAAGTTTGGGGGGAGATAGATAAGAAGTCTATTTTTATTACATGTTGCTGCAGAGCTGAAGTGAGGGTGCACAACTACAATAGTATGAACTAGGGCTTATAACTGAATTTTAATCGTAATTTTTCCCTGTGGCAACCATTAGTCTAATTGCCCCTCTTTCCTGCCTTAAGATCAACAGCAACTCCGTAATGGGGATGTGAATCTTTACCTTGGGTATTTTCCTTGAGGGTTGAATGTATGACACAAAAAATGTCTGGATAACACAACTGAAGTTTGTTTTTTAACACATGGTAACTTACAGTCTAGTTACCAGAGGGCAGCATTCTATACAGAACAAAGGATGCAAGAAAGAATTTAGCATATCTTTTAGATTTATTCTCACTTGTGTGAAGGGGGTTCCTAAATATATTTACTTTCCAGACTTGATTTGGGAGAAAAATTGTGTTGGGATTGTAAGTGAAGTGACAGAATGACAGTAGATTGTCACTGTCTTACTCCTAAACACTCCTGTGTCAGTATCTTCTGAGAACTTTATGTGACAGAAACATCCGTGGACAAGGGGCTGGTGACTCATCATATTCCATGGATTGGCTCTGCCCCTCTCACCTCACTTTGGTGCTAACGTGTGCTGGGTGCTTTGCATGGCCAACTGCAGCACCTGGAAAGCAACTTTATAAAGGTCAAACTATACCAACTACTCTGAGACCAAATACACGAGACCTTTTAACACGCATTACCAGGTATTTATGGTTTTCAACAAAAAAATGAGGGAGCCTTACAACTGCTCCTCTTTTCATTTGTGAGAAGCTCTACTTTAATCCCGTTTTCACTTTAAACTTAGACAGCTGGACTTTGAGTCTGCTCACTGCTTCCATCTCAGTCAATAATTAAATCCTAATGACTCAACACTGCTTCTCCCTCAATCCCTCGACTCACCATTTCCGGCTGACTTTCCCCTTTGTGGTTGAAATCACTGCCTGGTTACCAGGATCCCTCTCCACGCAGCCATGTTTTCTAGAACATGCAGCCCCTCCAGTCTCCCTCTCTTCTGCAGCCTCATCCCCTGTGCCCTGTTTGTGTTTCTCCTGCGTTCTTAGCCACTTGGTAGGTGCTTCTGCTATGCCTGCCATCCCCTAACCTCATCCCGAGGAGCCTCAGCTTTTTCTTCTCTCTCCAGCACACAGGATGTAGGGCAAACACAATTCCTTGTACCCGTCCGGTCCCAGTTCCAGACAACCCATTGCCCCACCATCTGTTCTCTGTAGTTCTCGTTTTAACATGATGGGACTTTCTCACATCAGCCACTCCCTCCTTACCAGGAGACAACATCGCCTGCTAATTCTGGCACTCGCCACCTTCTCTCGTCCCTGGCGAACAACCTCCCAACTGTCAGTTCCATCCCTGATCATTGTACCTTATGACTCAAATTTACTTCCCGGGATCCTAGCCTGCTGTTTGTACCACCTCAAGTCAATAAATCTAATGTCCATTTTACCATGACGCTTCCAAGTAGGCCTAATTCAGTGAACAGCCGTAGACTTTGAAATCAGAAAGGTCTGGATTCAAATCTACATTATAGCACTTACTAACTCCGTAAATTTGGACAAGATATTAGTTTCATTATTTCATTCGATACCTATTTACAGAGCACAGCAGGACTGAAGGAGGAGCCTCAGCACAATTAATAATGAGAGAGTTGTGGCAACAAACCACAGGTCAATGTCAGAAAGGACTTGGGGGCGTAGCCTGGCATGGTAAAAAAAAAAAAGTGACCCCCGGCCTTAGCCTACACTCCCCCCTGATGGGTTATGAGGGCTATTTTAGTTTTGTTTCTCTTGAAAGTGGTAGATTAAAAGGAATCTGCCTCACGAAACTTTATTGGTAAATTGCATACCCCATAAGAAAGCAGCAGGAAATTCATAACAAGCAATATGTAAATATTGCCTCTCTCTCTTTCTTTTCCAAAGTGCTAAAAGCCCCTTCTCTCTTCACACCAACTTCCTTTTCCTCCCATGTCTTCACTTATCCTGAATCCGCTTTATCCTGACTGTAGTCTTTAGTTCTGGGGAAGGAAACAAAGACAACCACAGGAGAAATAGGGATTTTATTCAGGGCTGGCTGGATGGCAAAGCAGTCAGCCACCGTCACTCATGTTTTGGAAGAGACTCAAAGGCAGGCAGAGGACCTGGTGAGCTTTCTAGTGGGAAAAGGGTAGCCTGTAGGTGTGCCCTGCTGGGGCCTTGTTGGGGGCTGTTTGCCTAGAGAAGCTGGAGGCTGGCCAGGCTTCTGGAATTAAGACATCTGCTTGTTCCTGAGTTGGAAGTGGGTACAAAAATTAGGGCAGCTGGCAGTTATTTATCAAGTCCCAGCTCTTTGGAGCACCGGTTACAGGAGTTATTGTTTGGTGACTTGGGTTGTTACTGGAAATAGCCTGACTTCCTACAAGCTTGCCTTATGCCAGCTGGCTTCCTGGGCTGGTTATTGTAGGCGAGAGGTTGGTGTCTTGGTCAGGCTGCTGCAGCTTGTGGGGTGGAGTCTAGTTTTTATATTCATGGTCTGGCCATTGTCCATTTGCATATTTAATCTCCTAGCGTCTCTTCCTATACCAGCCCCATTTGTTTTAATCTTCTTCTCCATCTGCTAGACCATGGCGGGTGTGTCCATGATGTTTGGTCCTAAGGTTTTGACCTGTCTCCTTGGATCCCTTGCCTCAGCCACCCTTCCAGTGCTTTCTGCTGGTCTACTCCTGGTTCCACCTATCCTTGTCCTCAGAGAAGCTTCAGTCATAGCTCCAGTCCCGTAACATCCTGTTGAGGAGAGGGACTTGGACTGTGCTTTAACTCCAGGTCTCCCCAGGCAGGGGTGCCCCTGGTGAGAGAGGAGGGGTGGTTTGGAGATACACCACTGAGGATGCTGTCGCTGATGCAGACCTGCGGGGGACACCGCCTCCTGCAGAAGCTGCCCATAGCGTGCCAATCTCCACTTAGCTCCTCCCCACGGAAGTGTCCCTCTTCGTCTACTACCTCCTTCCCATCTTGTTGCCGAGTTCCCCAGACTCTAGCTGGGGTGGCACTAAACAGGATCTCATGATGCTCACCTTCCAGGTACCATTTACCTCCCTGGCCTCCAGTTTCCTTTTTATGTTTCCTCCTTGTGTTGTCATCACCGTGAAGAGTGCTGCCTGCTCAGTTCAGCCTTTGCTGAGATCTTGGCTGCTTTGGAATTCAACTCCCGCTGTGTTTGTAGCTCTCCTTGGTGCTGAAAGTCGGAAGACTGCGTGACAGTCTAGTCTGTCAGTGCCTTCCCTTCCCTCTGTTGTGATGGCCTCTCCCCAAGATCTCATCCACTGCAGCCTCTCCTACACACTGCTGACCCTTGAATAATTCAGGTTCGAACTGTGCAGGTCCACTGATAGGCAGATTGTTTTCGATCAATACAGTCCTGTAAATGTACTTCTCTCCCTGATGATTTCTCCAGGACGTTTTCTTCTCTCTTGCTTACCTGATTGGAAGAATACAGTATGTATTACTTGATCTACTGTTGATGTTATCAGTAAGGCCTCTGCTCAACAGTAGGCTATCAGTCGTTAGGTTTTGGGAGGTCAGAAGTTACACATGGCATTTTGACTCCACAGGATTTGGCACCTATAATCCTCGCATTGTTTAAGGGTCATCTGTATGTTGCTTTAATCGTCTTATCTCTACTAACTAGCCAAGTAGCCAAGATTCCTTTCTATCCTCTGAGAGATCATTACTTGAAATCATACTGCCCATTCAATGTTTCCCTTTTATGTCTTTCTGAAAAATTTTATCTCCCTATATAAAAATACACTGTTTATATTTTTTCTGACACCTCATTTTATTTTCCCCATTTGTTACTTTGCTGCTGAATTATTGTACTAATAGTAGGTTAGTGATGCTCTCAATTGCCATAATTTTCCACATGAATCTATGAGATAGCAGCCTCTCTTATCTTCCCAAGTGCCTTTTAAAAGACCTCAATTGTTGTGCCAGGAGCCAAGATCTTTGACCTCAGTAAATGACTTTGACCTATTTCTTTGCCTCTTTGTACCAAATTTCAGTGTATTTTCCATCATTTTCCTGTGTATTTAATTGCTGATTCAGTCTCTATAAATATCAACCTCTGTGTCACTTGATTACTACAGAGGGTAAAGGGCAGATTTTCTAGTTTCTTCTGGAAAACTGCATTTCAGTGGGCTTAGGAGCATCACTGCGTCATTAAGAATGCCTTTATTTGCCACTTGAGACCATATACATCCTGTGGCTTGGCTCTTTTTATGATTTGCTGTTGCCTCTAGTTATGATTTTATACCATTCTTGCAAGAGGTA